TAGTACAGAATCTTTCTCTTTCCACACTGATTCGAGACGATCCCAACCAAAATTCGGTAAAATTCCGGTTTGACAGAGCAAGATCTTCAAAATTTCTCGCGAAAGCAGATCGATTAGGCGGTGCCCTAATCAAATTCTTTCTGATGACAACTTTGCCTTCGGCCCTTTGCCCTCTCCAAGCCCGATAGCGACAGTGTGTAAGTTCTTCAAAACTTTAAATGATGAATAAATCTTATTTCTCGTTCATAAATTTATATTATTTATTTATTTTAATTTAATTTATTTTGTTTGACGTAATTGCTGATTGATACATGTATAATTGGAACGCTTCTAATTCGTTTAGTTTTACACTAGTATGTAACTCGTGCTATGCACGAGCTAGTACATGTTTTGAAATATTTTAAAAAATTAAAAGATCATTAATTAGTAAGTTATTATAATATGTATGACATTCATAAAGTAAACATAAAATCGTCATTTGTAAAAAGTTATACATTATTAAAAATCTCCTTATATACAAAGTTATTAGTTTGATTACTGGGTAACTCATCGTCCCCACAAACTAATATTTTCAACCCCTTCCTATTAGTAACACGTGAAACAGCGACGTATAACTGACCATGACTAAAAACATGTTTTTTAGTTAATTTGTGTATCTGATATTGTTAAGTATATATATTTGTTTATCTAATGGTTCGCAGTTATTTTAATTATTAATTATTAGTAAAGATTATAATATCCTAATTATACAACATGTATTAAAATAATGAAATCATCATTAAAATAATTAAATCGTCATTAAAACAAAACTTTATACACGAATTCATTATTAATTGATTATAGAAACACAATTTATAGAAACAATTTATAGAAATGAATCTCCCAAATGTATTATTATATTATTTAATTATATTATTCAGTTAATTGATTAATTGATCAAGCTTAATATTTTTTTAAGCGCATAAAAGAAAAAAAAAGAAGCAAAATTTGTTATTTTTAATATAATATCCTATTTTTTAATTATTATAATGTAATCTATTTTTTTTTAAAAAAAGGTGAGTATGTTAAATTGTTCAAGCATGCAATGATTTAATCGAATAAATTATAAAATAGAATAAATTCAATAACATGAAATTATAAATTATTAGAATTTGAAAGAACACAAATAAACAGATATACGAAAATAAATCATGTAGAACAAATAAAACAAACAAACAATAAAAGAACTGCATGTAAGTACAAAATCGAAGGAGGAGTCTACTAATAAAAATTTATTCATGATAAAA